GCATGGAGCTCCAGACCGAGGAGGGTGATTGATGGTTATTTTGTATTTCTTCCATTTGGGAATAATGGCTCCAACAGTTGTCACCTTCTCAGCAAGCTTCTTGCTGATGGTCTTTTAGCCCATTCCAGCCTTGTGCAGGTCTACAATCTTGTCCCGGAAGTCCTTTGACTGCTCTTGTAGATGATGGTGAGGTTTGAATAGAAGAAAGAGATTCTGTGGACAGGTGTCTTTTATACACATAACGAGTTGTCATCAGGGACGGACTGACAACTCATGGGGCCCCCTGGCAATAGGGGATCAGGGGCCCCTGTGTCCTTCCCCAAACTCAAAAGCCTATGAAAAAGGTACAAGGGGCATCTCATGGGGCCCCCTACTGACCCCGGGCCCTCGGGCAGTGCCCGAGTTTCCAAACGGTCAGTCCGCCCCTGGTTGTCGTTAGATTGAGAGTCCTTAAATTGACAGGACTAATCTGTGTACCACATGAGCACATAGCCAGTCTGTGGGAGCCAGAATCATTGTTGCTTGGTAGGGGATCAAATACTTATTTTACTCACTGAACTGCAACTCAAATTTATAACATTTGTATCGTGTTCTTTTCTGGATTTTTGGTTGATATTCTGTCTCTACCATTTAAAATACACCTATGATCTGCAGGGGATGAAATACTTTTTTCTCCACAATATATATATATTATTTTCATTGGAGTAAGGCAGTGTTTCTCAATTCCAGTCCTCATGGACCCCCAACAGGTCATGTTTTCAGGATTTCCATTATTTTGCACAGGTGATTCGATCAGTTTCACTGTCTTAGTAATTACCACAGCTGTTTCATCTGAGGGAAATCCTGAAAACATGACCTGTTGGGGGTCCATGAGGACTGGAGTTGAGAAACACTGGAGTAAGGGAAGGCTAGAGACAGTGTCAGATTTTTCATATTGTGCTTTCTGTGGAGCTGTTGCAGGTTTTCCTTCACTTCTTGTCCTCTGAAGCAGTTGTCACCATGACAGGAAGTGAGGGGAAATTTCTTTAATGGAGCCCTGGAAAGCCGTAAAAGCTCAATGGGTTTCTATGCAGGGCCGGTGGTACCACTAGGCAAACTAGGCAACTGCCTAGGACCCAGCCACAGCCAGGGCTGCTGAGAGGGCAGTACAGCCAGCCCTGCTGTAACATTGATTATATTTTCCCTGGGCCCTATCACTTCACCAGAGGGGCCCAGGAGGTGAGGAGCAGAGAAGGACATTTATTTTTTATTTTGGGCGCAGGCGGCTAAAGCCACGCTGCATTTTGCAATGCTAATCAGTGGCGGCCGGACGGTTGCAGCCTTTCACTGGCGGAGTGATTATCCCTTCCTCCACTGAGGAGGGAAGAAGGGGAGGCTGTAGGCCGGCGGTGGGAGGCGAAGTGACAGGTGGCCGAGGGCACAGGCAGCAATGGGAGCCAGGTGCACAGGCAGCGATGGGAGCCAGGTGCACAGGCAGCGATGGGAGCCAGGTACACGGGCAGCAATGGGAGCCAGGTACACAGGCAGCGATGGGAGTCATCTGCACAGGCAGCGTTGGGGGCCAGGTACACAGGCAGCGATGGGAGCCAGGTGCACGGGCAGCGATGGGAGCCAGGTACACGGGCAGTGATGGGGGCCAGGTGCACAGGCAGCGATGGGAGCCAGGTGCACATGCAGCGATGGGAGCCAGGTGCACGGGCAGCGATGGGAGCCAGGTACACGGGCAGCGATGGGAGCCAGGTACACAGGCAGCGATGGGAGCCAGGTGCACGGGCAGCGATGGGAGCCAGGTGCACGGGCAGCGATGGGAGCCAGGTGCATGGGCAGCGATGGGAGCCAGGTACACGGGCAGCGATGAGAGCCAGGTACACGGGCAGCGATGGGAGCCAGGTGCACATGCAGCAATGGGAGCCAGGTGCACATGCAGCAATGGGAGCCAGGTGCACGGGCAGCGATGGGAGCCAGGTGCACGGGCAGCGATGGGAGCCAGGTACATGGGCAGTGTTGGGAGCCAGGTGCACAGGCAGCGATGGGAGCCAGGTGCACAGGCAGCGATGGGAGCCAGGTGCACAGGCAGTGATGGGAGCCAGGTGCACAGGCAGTGATGGGAGCCAGGTGCACAGGCAGTGATGGGAGCCAGGTACACAGGCAAGCTCACGATTTCTGTTTTCTGAGGCACAGACAGACATACAGAACCTTCTATACTGAGTGACATCATCATGATAAGGATGACCATGACATAAGCACAGTGAGATGCTTCCTCTTAGTTCTTACACTTGTGTTTGAGGGACATTAAAAATGTGCAACTGAGCCACACTTTTACCATCCCCATTATACTGCAAAGGCACTGTCACCATAGTATGGCAATAGTGGCGGGGTGTCGTGTAAAACTCCTTGCTGCCTTACTACGGTGGCAGTGCCTTTGCAGCATAATGGGGAGTGGTCGGGGGACGGTAAAAGTGTGACTCAGTCGCCCATTTTTAATGTCCCTCAAACACAAGTGTAATAAACTAACAGGACGCATCTCCTTGAGGGTGTGTAAATCTGACTGTCAGGGGGAAATGTTCCCATAGCTGTGCAGCCACCAGATTGCTTCCACCCCCCCATGTGCCCTGCCGTGCTTCCCAGGCTCTGCGCTCCCATCAGCGGACCTGGGACCTGCATGGCCAGTAGAAGGGAGGGAGAGCAGCGAACACCTGCTTACCGATCTCCCCTTCCTGTTATTGACCCAGAAGCAACATGTAAAACATCACTTCCGGGTCCTGGTGTCACTGTCCCCAGACAGGATTGGATGATGATAACTGGAGACCAAGCCAAAGAGGTGTCATGCAAGCCGTGCTGCGCGCACCATCACTTCCTCCCTTCCAGGTCCCCAGTCAGTCTCCACATTGGCAAGGAGGTGAGAAGCATCCCTGCACAAGGTCAAAATTTTAAAGGTTTTTTTTTTTTTGGGGGGGGGGAGGTGTAAGTAGCTGGTCTTGCCTAGGGCACAAAAGAGTCTAGAACCTGCCCTGGTTCTAGGCATTGGTGTCAGGATGATACCAGGAAAAGGCTTAGTGATTCCCTCCAGAGCTTGCAGCCCAGGACCTAATCCGTGAGAAATACCCGGCGTTATAAAATATTCATTGAATGTCACACACATGGCAGACTGGATGCTTTTTCCCCGTATTTTCTCTAATAGATTAATTCCTATGATCACGTCAGCTCCATCTAGTGTCCAAAATGAGGTATAGTTTTCTAAAATACTTCATACCCCCATATTGGTCACTAGATGGCGCTGCTGATCATAGAGATTCATCTATTGCAGAAAATACAGGAAAAATTCATTCCAGCATGAATGTGTGTGACCTTCGTCCAAAGAAGTAGACCACGAAGTCTCATTTTTCATACTGCCTGACAGTAGACTCGTGTTGTTCACCGGAACCAATTACATTACAGCTTATTTTTTTCAGTGCATGACAAAGAACCTTTTTGTTGCAAACAGTTCTCCTCTGTCCGGTGTTCTGACACAATACCAAATAATAGACATGTGGGATTTGTATCATTTTTAAATGTTTTTCGGCTGAAAATTTAATTTTTGGAGATTCGGATGTATACAAATCTGATGGATGCAAAAAACAAATGGCAAAGAATCCACATAAAAGTTATAACAAAATTAACAACTGCATTCGTTTTGTTCGGATGACGTCACATGATGCGATAGTAGTTTGAGGTTATGGGAAAATTAATTCAAATTTCAAATTTGTTTAATATTTCGGATTCGGATAACGAATGGATCCAAGTTTTGTTCCATCCATTAACATCCTTGGCGGTCTGATTATGTCCATATTTCTGTGCTCAAAGCGGTACATTTTTTTGAATGGAAATATGTAGTTTTTTATTGTAGGCTGTAATTTTTAGGAATAACTCACTGAAATCTGTCCGAACAAGAGTCTAGTAAACATCCCGGGGAGGATAAAAATTTGAAACACGAAATCATAAATTATAATATAATAAATAATCATAAAAAATAATAATATAATAATAATAAATGTAATTCAATAATATAATCAAACCAAAAACACTGAAATGTGAAATAGAGCGCCAAGTTCGCCCATCACTGAGCTCAGTCGCAGAATCGTTTTCAGTGTCTGATGAGGAATTTCCCCCACGAATCATTATCACTCAATTCTGCAAGTGGTTCTGATTTACTATCGCTGTTCTCTAGCCGGTCTAAAACCGCGTCTGACCTAAAGGGACGCTTTTTGGACGCCATGGACGTTTCTCAGTTTCCAGGCAGAAAGAACAGTAATAATGCAGGCAGGGCGCCGGACAAAGCACTCGGGACAAAATGTATGTGAAATGGTTTGATACAGGAATGTTTATATTATGTGATTTTAGTGTATTTAGTGAATGTCACTTTTTGTCATTTTCAAATTTCCCGCCAGTTCCGTCCCCCGTACATCCCGACGTCGCAGGGAACGGAACCCGGAAGACGGATGCCGGCATCGGCCAGAGGACATTGCTGGGGACACTGCAGGGGGGACATCGCGGGAGCGCAGGACAAGGTAAGTGAAGAGGGGATCCCGGAGCAACGCTGCAGTGTATTCCCGAGTGTAACTCGGGGTTACCGCTTGTGGTGCTGAAACTTTACCCCGAGCTACACTCGGGAATACCGCCAGGGGGTTTAATTCTGATGCACATGACACCATTCGGTATTGTCCAATCAGCTCATGCCACTACTCTTGGTGGGTTGGACTAGCGTCCAAAAATATTGAATCCTTTCGATTCGATAATATATCGAATATATAGCAATCTTCCGGGTGCAAAATATTCGGACCAACGAATATACGAAACGAATGCCAAAGATATGAAACAAATTCCAAAAACCGAATCTGGTTGACATAACATATATATAACGAAACGAAATTCTTCAAAGAACGGATGCATCCGAAACGAAATGAAAGGCAAATTTCAAGCATGCACATGTCTACCAGATAATCATAACATATTGATTTCACCTGTTTGTCTGCTTGGCTTCACTGAGGGGTTTCCTGGCTTCACTGAGGGGTTTCCTGGCTTCACTCAGGGGTTTCCTGGATCCAAACAAGTGTCCCCATTTCCTGATCGGACTGCCCTGAATGTTCTCTTTTGCTGCCTCTTGTCCGCTGGGCTGAGAGTCCTTTTGGGAGCTCCGGCTCTCCTTCTCCTTCCCTTGTTTAAGTTCATTGAGTACTGACTCAGGAGGGCTTCCCATCCAGGACTTTTTCTCTTCCTTATGACTGTCCTCAACTGTGTCTTTCTTTGGTGGCTTCTCCTCTGCCATTCCTTCCACAGCAGGACAGGCCTCAGCTCCTTCAACAACTCCCTCTCTGGGTGGTGGTACTTTTTTAGGAGTTCCGCCATTTCCCGGTCTTCGCCTGTCCTGGCGTGTGAACCTGGTAGTGTCGGAGGAGTTCTCGATGTAGACTTGAGAGCTCTGCATCAGTTGGTACCACCACCCAGCTTGTTTGTCTCTTTTTATCTCCACAGCGTTCTCCTTCTTTTGCTCTTCACCAACTTCTACACAGGCAGCTCCTTCTCCTGTGGGCCTCTCAGTATCAGAGGACTCTAAGGATGTCTTCTCAAGGCTTTTCTTCTCCTGGCTCCCCTGCTCTTCCTCATCTCGGCTTCTCATCAGCTGAAGGGTGGAGTGCACAGACTGGAGCAGGTCCTGCTTCACACGGAGCATTTCCTTCTTCTGCTGCTGCTCTCTGCTCATCAGGACAAGGTGGTGTTCAAATAGAAGGTCCAGGTCAAAGGGTAAAAGAGAAAGAGGCTGCAGGAGGAGCAGGAGCTCTTCAAACAGAGGCTGGCAAACACCATGAGACACCGACAAGAAGCCAACCGGGTCATAATGGGCCCAGATAATGTCTGCGAAGAAAGAGACAGATACTCACTTTAAATCTGACATTTCGTAATATGGAAGTGTAGGAGAGGAAAGGAATGAACAAAAGAAGGAAAGTATGGAGAATGGATTGGGGGAAGGGAGGAAGCAATTAAGGAAAAAACATGCAAATGAGGGGGGAAGGAAGGAAGGAAGGAAGGAAGGAAGGAAGGAAAGAAAGAGAAAGAGAAAAAAAAAGAAAGAAAGAAAGAAAGAAAGAAAGAAAGAAAGAAAGAAAAGAAAAAAAGAAAAATAAAGAAGATATGAAGGAAAGGAGGGAGGGAGGGAAAGAAATAAGAAAGGGGAAAGAGGGACAGAAGAAAAGAAAAAAAATAGTGCGAGAAGTTATGAATGAAGGTAGGGAGAGGAAGAAATGGAGGTAGAAAGGAAAGGAGAGCAGAAAGGAAGGAAGAGCATAAAAAAAGTGAGGAGAGAGGAAATGAAAGAAGGAAGAAAGGAAGGAAGGGGGAAAAAAGAAGGAAGGAAGGGGAGGAAGAGAGGGATGGAGGGAAGGAAACAAGGAAGGAAGAGAGTGAGGGAAAGAAAGAAGGTAGGAAGACAAAGAAGGGAGGGAAGGAAGGAAGAAAATGAGAGAAGAAAGGAAGTAGGAAGGAAGAATAGGAGAGAAGGAAGGAAGGAAGTGAAGAGAAGAGGGAAGTAAAATCTGCAAGAAGGAAGGAAAAGGAAGAAGGGAGGGAATGAAGAAAGGGAGGGAAGGAAGGAAGAGAGAAGCGAGAGAGAAAGAAGCAAGGAAGGTAGTAAGGAAGGGGAGGTAGGAAGGAAGGGATGGGGAAAGAAGGAAAGATGTATGTACGTGGAGGGAAGATAAGATGGAAGGAAGAATGGCAAAGAAGTAAGGAAGGAAAAGGAAGAAAGGAGGAATGAGGAAAGGGAGGGGAGAAATACAGAAGAAAAACAGAGGTAAGGAAGGTAGTAAGGAAGGGGAGGTAGGAAAAAAAGGGAGGGAAAGAAGGAAGGATGTAATAGAAGGGAAGATAAGATGGAAGGGAAAAGGGAAGGAATGAGGAAAGGAGAGGGGAAGGAAGAGCAGAGAGAGAGGTACAGAAAGTAGTGATGTAAGGAAGGAAACGAGAGATGGTAAGAAGGAAGGAAGAAAAATGCCAGGAAGGATGGAAGAAGGAAGGATGAGGAAGGAAGACTAATAGGTAGGAAAGGATACGGATGGGAGGGAGGAAAAAAAGTAGATTTCATCTCCACACCGTTAGGCCACCCCCCCCCCCCCCCCCCCCCCAACCCCCCCCCCCCACCCCCCCACCCCCCCCCCCCCCCACCCCCCCCAATGGGTAGGAGGGGGGGGGTGTGGGGGGCAATAAGAAAGGAAGGTTATATATGACAGAACGATCACCACCATTTGGACACCCTTCCATAGTTGTTTTAAATGGTATTTGATTTTGATTTGGGTAAAGGGAAAAGGAAACTTCCCCTAACTTGTCCTATGCATTGATGTTTAAAAGGAATATGTTTGGTAATACAACTCCAAGGGAAACGTACATTCATGGTTATGCAGGTGGTTAAACAACCAAAACTCAACCGTACCGACATGCTGAGAGAAAGGAAATCAAAGAAAACCTGATCAGTTCACTACGTACGTTTCTCAGGGTCAACCTCCATGGATTACAATCATTTACAGAAGTTTAATAAAGTATGAATCAGTAAAAATGAACAAACTTGTCATGGATGTCCCAGTTCTGCACTTGGAGGACTAAGAATACGCATGCATCATACTTACTAAGGGGGGTACAACGCGGGGGGTCAATGGTGGAGAAGGATCTGGGGGGGTCAATGGTGGAGAAAGATCTGGGGGGGTCAATGGTGGAGAAGGATCTGGGAGTTCTGGTAGATCACAAGGCAGTTTAATAATAGCATGCAATGCCAAGCTGCGGGGTTCTAAAGCGAGCAAAATCATTCTCTTGTATTAGGAGAGGTATAGACTCCAGAGAAAGAGATATCATTTCCCCCTTTCCCCCCCTCCCCCCGGTACAAATCATTAGTAATTCCTCATCTGGAATAATGCAGTTCAGTTTTAGGCTCCAATTCACAAAAAGAACATTGGGGAAACTGGAGAAAGTACAGAGAAGGGCAACCAAACTGATACGATGGGCATGGAGGAGCTCAACTATGAGGAAAGAATTTAGAGGAACTGAATGTACTTTCTTTACTGAAGAAGAGGAGTATTAAGGGGGGATAAGATCTCCAAGTATAATACATAAGGGGGGATATGATCTCCATGTATATTAAATACATAATGGGGGATATGATCTCCATGTATAATAACATAAGGGGGATATGATCTCCATGTATTAATACATAAGGGGGGGATATGATACTCCATGTCATAATACAAAGGGGGAAATGATCTCCATGTATAATACATAAGGGGGGGATATGATCTCATGTATAATACATAAGGGAGGATATGATCTCCATGTATAATACATAAGGGTGGATATGATCTCCATGTATAATACATAAGGGGGGGATATGATCTTCCATGTATAATACATAAGGGAGGATGAATGATCTCCATGTATAATACATAAGGGGGTATATGATCTCCATGTATTAATACAGTTAAGGGGGGATATGATCTCCATGTATAATACATAAAGGGGGGATATGATCTCCATGTATATAACATAAGGGGGGATATGATAATCTCCATGTATAATACATAATGGGGGTTATGATCTCCATGTATAATACATAAGGGGGGGATATGATCTCCATGTATAATACATAATGGGGGGTTATGATCTCCATGTATAATACATAAGGGGGGATATGATCTCCATGTATATATACATAATGGGGGGGGATATGGATGAATCTCCATGTATAATACATAAGGGGGATATGATCTCCATGGATAACGTAATACATAAATGGGGGTTATGATCCTCCAATGTATAATACAATAAGGGGGGGTTAATGATCTCCATGTATAATACATAAGGGGGATATGATCTCCAATGTATAATACATAAGGGGAGGATTATGTGATCTCCATGTATAATACATAAGGGGGGGATATGATCTCCATGTATAACTACATATAGGGGGATATGATCACCATGTATAAAATACATAAGGGGGGGATATGATCTCCATATGTATAATACATAAGGGGGATATGATCTCCATGTATAATACATAAGGGGGGATATGATCTCCATGTATAATACATAAGGGGGATTTATGATCTCCATGTATAATACATACATGGGGGATATGATCTCCATGTATAATACATAAGAGGGATATGATTCCATGTATAATACATTAATGGGGATTATGATCTCCATGTATAATACATAAGGGGGATATGATCTCCATGTATCATACATAAGAGGGATATGATCTCCATGTTAATAATACATAAGGGGGATATGATCTCCGAGATGTATAATACATAAGGGGGGGATAAGATCTCCATGTATAATACATTAAGGTGGGATATGATCTCCATGTATAATACATAAGGGGGGATATGATCTCCCATGTATAATACATAAGGGGGGGATATGATCTCCATGTATAATACATAAGGGGGGGATATGATCTCCATGTATAAATTACATAAGGGGAGGGATATGATCTCCATGTATAATACATAAGGGGGGGATATGATCCCCATGTATAATACATAAGGGGGGATATGATCTCCATGTATAATACATAAGGGGGGATATGATCTCATGTATAATCACATAAGGGGGGATATGATCTCCATGTATAATACATAAGGGGGGGGGATATGATCTCCATGTATAATACATAAGGGGGGGATATGATCTCCATGTATAATACATAAGGGGGGATATGACTCCATGTATAATACATAAAGGGGGGTATGTTCTCCATGTATAATACATAAGGGGGATATATGATCTCCATGTATAATACATAAGGGGGGGTATGATCTCCATGTATAATACATAAGGGGGGGATGGATTGATCTCCATGTATTAATACATAAGGGGGGATATGATCACCATGTATAATACATAAGGGGATATGATCTCCATGTATAATACATAAGGGGGGATATGATCACCATGTATAATACATAAGGGGGGATATGATCTCCATGTATAATACATAAGGGGGGGAATATGATCTCCATGTATTACAAAATGAGCCCATTAGAATAATAAATAGTTCCCATTAAGGGGGGGAATATGATCTCCATGTATAATACATAAGGGGGATATGATCTCCATGTATAATACATAAGGGGGGATATGATCTCCATTATAATATATATAAGGGGGATATGATCTCCAAGTATAATACATAAGGGGATAATGATCACCATGTATATACATAAGGGGGGATATGATCTCCAGTATAATACATAAGGGGGGGATATGATCTCCATGTATAATACATAAGTGGGGATATGATCTCCATGTATAATACATAAGGGGGGATATGATCTCCATGTATAATATATAAGGGGGATATGATCTCCATGTATAATACATAAGGGGGGGGATATGATCTCCATGTAAAAATAATACATAAGGGGGGATATGATCACCATGTATAATTCATAAGGGGGGGATATGATCTCCATGTATAATACATAAGGGGGATATGAATCTCCATGTATAATACATAAGGGGGGATATGATCTCCATGTATAATACATTAAGGGGGATATGATCTCCATGTATAATACATAAGGGAGGATATGATCACCATGTATAATACATAAGGGGGGATATGAATCTCCATGTATAATACATAGGGAGGATATGATCACCATGTATAATACATAAGTGGGGGGGATATGATCTCCATGTATAATACATAAAGGGGGGATAGGTGATAATCTCCATGTTATAAATACATAAGGGGGGGATATGATCTATCATGTAATAATACATAAGGGGGGATATGATCTCCATGTATAATACATAAGGGGGGGATATGATCACCATGTATAAATACATAAGGGGGGAAGATTTCCATGTATAATACATTAAGGGGGGATATGATCTCCATGTATAATACATAAGGGGGGATATGATCTCCATGTATAATACATAAGGGGGGGGATATATGATCTCCATTGTATATAATACATAAGGGGGGATATGATCTCCAGGTATAATACATAAGGGGGGGATATGATCTCCATGTATAAATACAAATCATGTGGTTCATATAGTGAACTCGGTGTAGTTAATCCCCCTGTATAGAAGGTCATCACAGAGGACAAGGGGGCACACTATTACGTCTGGAGGAAAAGAAATGTAATCTCCAAACACGGAATAGGTTTTCCTTCACAGGGGTATAAGAGCTGTGAGAATGTGGAATAGACTCCCTCAAGAGTTGGTTGTGGCCAGCTCAGTGGATTGGCTGTAGGAAAGTCTGATTTTGGTTTTTTTCTTGGATACACAGAATATAACTGGATATAACATTTATAGGGAAAGTTGATCCAGGGAATATCCGATTGCCTCTCGGGGGATCAGGAAGGAATATTTTCCCTGCAGGAGCAAATTGGATCGTGCTTTGCTGTTTTTTTGCCTTCCACTGGATCAACTGTGGGTGTGGGATTATAACGTTTTATGTTTATTTTTTTATTTATTTCTATGGTTGAACTGGATGGACTTTTGTCTTTTTTCCAGCCAGACTAACTATATAACTATGTAACGGGTTGAAGTGAAATCAACACTAAAAGACTTACTTAAGAAGGCCGAAGATGAAGGCATTGAACCGCAGGCTGTGATTGGACAGCTCAGAAAACTGGTTAACCTTTTGGCACACAAGGTGTGCAGCAGTTTGGTGGAAGGACCTGGGAAAAAGCAAAACATGTTTAGGTGATGACACATTAGCCGATGTCGGAAATAATAAAAATATTTTTGATATATTGTAAACATCCAGGGGGGGGGGTGGTGCCCGTGTAATTTACACATAGGGGTCTATTTATAAGACACTCATTGGATGAATGTCACGCACCTCTGTGCAGGTTTTGCAGATTTGTGTAATTGATGAATTCCTACGATTTTGCCCACTAGATGGCGCTGACAATCATGAGAAATAATCTGTTCGTAAAACTACAGCCAAAATGTGCGCGTGACGCATGTACATCCAACAAATGGTTTATAACAAGACCCCATAAATATTCTTTTTAGTTTTGGATAAAGAAGGGAAATGTTAAACCCTGTCAGTTTATGTATTTATCTATTTTTCTATTCTGTGTTTCTTTGGGAGACATCCCCTCACTTCCTGTCCTGGAGAGGCAACAGGAAATGAAATAAAATCACTCCAAAGTCAGGGGGGAAATCCTCTCTTAAAGGCAAGGAGAATATTTGGCGCACTCCGAGATGGAGAAAGGTGGTAGATGTGGCCACTGGCGTCCCGAGGCAGGTGCGGGGGCAGTGCGCCGCACCGGGTGACACCTACCGCACGGGGTGACACCGAACCTGCACCACGAAAAGGTAAGTTGTAAATCCCCGCAGGATGGATGGGATCTGTGGATTGGGGAGCATAATGGATCGAAGTCCGATCCATTATGCTCAATCCGCAGATCCGATCCATTCTGCGGGGGTCATCGGCATGCAACCTATACGGGGTGACACCAGACCCTCTCCACGAAAAGGTAAGTTGTAAAGAAAGCCGACGATCCCCGCAGGATGGATCGGATCTGCAGATTGGGGAGCATAATGGATCGGACTCCGATCCATTATCTCAATCTGAAGATCCGTTCCATTCTGCGGGGATCATCGGAGGGGGGGTGTCACCAAGTGTTACCCGCACCAGGTGACACCCACCCCAGGGACACTCCTGGATGTGGCATACAATAGTATAGTAAGCATATAATCAATGGTGATGGAATTAGGGAAAATAAATCATGAATAATATACTGTAATAACTATACAAATAAAAGGTCCTTAGAAAGAGTCCTATACAGGGGCGGACTGACCATTCAAGCACTCGAGCACTGTCCGAGGGCCCAGGGTCAGTAGGGGGCCCCTTTTATAGGCTTTTTTGGGTGTGCCTTGAGTGTGGGCAAGGACACAGGGGCCCCATGATCCCCTATTGCCCAGGGGCCCCATGAGTTGTCAGTCCACTTTTGGTCCTATAGGTAATTCTGATGCACCATGGAATGGAGGCAGCCAGCCAATAGTGAGCTAGAGAGGCCCTGTTGAAGATCAGGAAGAGGCAGCGCCTTCTAAGTGCAGTATAAAAGCTTTTTAACCACTTCCAGTCCAGACACTTTCAACCCCTTCCAGTCCGGACACTTTTCCCCCCCTTCCAGTCCGGACACTTTCCCCCCTTCCAGTCCGGACACTTTCCCCCCTTCCAGTCCGGACACTTTCAAAAAACCACCCCCCTTCCTGTCCGGACACTTTCACCCCCCTTCAAGTCCGGACACTTTCTCCCCCTTCCAGTCCGGACGCTTTCCCCCCCCCTTCCAGTCCGGACGCTTTCCCCCCCCTTCCAGTCCGGACACTTTTTCACCCCCTTCCTGTCTGGACACTTTCCCCCCCTTCCAGCCCGACACTTTCACCCCCTTCCTGTCCGGACACTTCCCCCCTTCCAGTCCGGACACTTTCACCCCCTTCCAGTCCGGACACTTTCACCCCCCTTCCAGTCCGGACACTTCCCCCCCTTCCAGTCCGGACACTTTCACCCCCTTCCAGTCCGGACACTTTCACCCCCTTCCAGTCCGGACACTTCCCCCCCTTCCAGTCCGGACACTTCCCCCCCCTTCCAGTCCGGACACTTTTTCCCCTCTTCCTGTCCGGACACTTCCCCCCCTTCCAGTCCGGACACTTTCCCCCCCTTCCAGTCCGGACACTTTCCCCCCCTTCCAGTCCGGACACTTTCCCCCCCTTCCAGTCCGGACACTTTCCCCCCCTTCCAGTCCGGACACTTTCACCCCCTTCCAGTCCGGACACTTTCCCACCCCCCTTCACTTTTCCCCCCTTCCAGTCCGGACACTTTCACCCCCTTCCAGTCCGAAACACTTTCCCCCCCTTCCAGTCCCGGACACTTTTCCCCCCTTCCAGTCCGGACACTTTCACCCCCTTCCTGTCCAGACACTTTCACCCCCTTTCAGTCCGGACACTTTCCCCCCCTTCCAGTCCGGACACTTCCCCCCCCCCTTCCAGTCCGGACACTTTCACCCCCTTCCAGTCCGAACACTTTCACCCCCTTCCAGTCCGGACACTTTCCCCCCTTCCAGTCCGGACACTTTCACCCCCTTCCAGTCCGGACACTTTCCCCCCCTTTCCAGTCCGGACACTTCCCCCCCTTCCTGTCCAGGCCAGTTTTCAGCTTTCAGCGCTGTCACACTTTAAATGACAATTGCGCGGTCATGCAACACTGTACCCATATGAATTTTTTAGCATTTTTTTGAGACAGATAAAGCTTTATTTTGGTGGTATTTATTCACCACTGGGATTCTTTTTTTTTGCTATATGAATGAAAAAGTCCAAAAATTTAGAAAAAAAGTGGTTTTTTATAAAATGTTGCAAATAAATAATCTTTCTTCATAAATCTTGGCTAAAATTTATTCAGTTATCGTTTTTAGTAAAACAAAAATAACCCAAATTAGTTTATTACTAAAAATTATAATTAAATTTTTTTTTTTTTTTAACATTTTTATTTTATTTTTTTATATTATTATTATTATTTATGTTTTTTTTTAACATACTGTCACCCTAGCAGTACAGTGTCACCATAGTGACACTGTACTACTTGTGGGGGGTGATGAATATTTTCTTTTTCTTTTTTTTTTACACCGATTGCTTTTACACCCATAAAGGCTGTAAACGCAATCGTTTCTCCTTCTTACTTGGCTGCATCCCTGCAGCCATTGAGAAATACTGTGTGAGCTGTGATTGGTCACAGCTTGTCACATGGTACAAAACTGTTGTGAATAGCCCTGTACCATGTGATCTCTGTGGTCATTCACAGATTTCACAGGTAGTAAGCAATGATGTCACAAGTGACATCTTGCTTACACCTATTCATGTGATCACTGATTGGCCAATCAGCGATCACATGATCAGGACCTCACACAGAGGTCCCATACAGTGATCGGACACAGCGGGCACTGGTTCACGGTGCTGCGTGCTCCCAGGGAGCTTGCACAGTCCAAAATGGCGGGCGCTGTTTATGAACGGCAACCCGTCCCTGCACTGCCCCCGTCCGGCCGTTTATATATACATGGGCTGGACAGGAAGTGGTTAATGAATAAAAAGTAGATAATACAGGCCACTCACAAAGCATAAGTAGGTTTGCGCTTGTGGTCACCGGCATCTGGCGGTGGTGCTGGTGGCTTCCAGCACGTCCTCCTACTAAACGACCCACGGCAATGATAGCCCTCTTTCCGTGGGTCGTTTACTCCTCAAACTGTGTCTGTCTGTAGGAGGATTCCCCTTGCTGAGAGTATAAATGCCCTACATCAAGATGGCGTCCTTAGGGTACGATGAGGGAGCATACATGCTCTGAATGCGTGCCAACCCCCGCTATCACGTGACCGGAAGTGATGTCTCAGCTGAGGGAATCCTGGAACTAGGAGGACGTGCTGGAAGCCACCAAATCCCGGTGACCACCATCCATCCAGAGTGGAACGTACCGGCGGAATGACGTCACCGGAAAAGGCAGAGGGCTAGATGTGGGACACAGAGAACACAGGCTACTCGCTCGGAGCCTCTAGCTCCTTCTACAGGCCTCTTCCGGTAATGTCATTTCTGCCGGTATGTTCCATGCTGGTCAGCGCGGACTCTTCCTGGTCCAGGACGGCGTTTGACCGGCTCAGCTGCATCTCTATGGTGTCCGGGGATTTTCTGACCAGCTCACACAGATTCACACTGTTCCAGCTCACACCCATGGCACCCTAGGTGAATGACCGGCGGTACCTGCAGGACATAGAGGAGTGGCTCCATACCCTTCCACAGATGAGATTTTTATGCTCTTGCTTCCTGTGAGTGTATTTAATCCTATGCCATTAAATACGGCATTTACTGCACTTAGATGGCGCCCCCTTTTATCTTCTCTTTTGCCGAGACTCCAGAGCACATTGCTGGATCGAGAGGGGGCTTAGGTGAGTTTTTTAGGGGGGCCTGCGGTGGATGCTGCACACAGAAGGTTTTTTAACTTATATTGTAAAGCGCTGAGCAAACTGCTGGCACTATATAAATCCTGAATAATAATAATAATACCTTCATGCATAGAATACATGAAGATAAAAAACCTTCAGCCTTTACAACCACTTTAAATGCATAATAATTATAATTATTGTAGCAAGATGCTGTTATAAACATCCCTCCCCCACACACATTACTGGTCCCACCTACAAAACACTCTCATACGCGCTCACTGAAAATTGCGTAAATTAGTGCCACGCCTTGATTACTTAACAATAAAAATGTTTTATATAAAGCAATAATATATATAAAATAAGTATATTACATAATATATTAAATAATATATAATTAATATAGGTGTACCAACATAATACAATGTAAAGCGCTGAGCAAACCGTTGGCGCTGTATAATAATAATAATAAATCCTGTATAATATAATAATAATAATATTACCCAAACAACATCATAAGGAAAAGAAGAAAAAAATTATATTATAGAGAAAAAAATATATATATTCAAAAGTCAAAAAATACATTATTATTATTATTATTATATTATTAATAATTATAATTATTGTAGCAAGATGCTTTTATAAACATCCCTCCCCCAAACACATTACTGGCCCCGCCTACAAACACTCTCATACGCGTTCACTGAAAATTGCTTAAATTAGTGCCACGCCTTGGTTAATTAATAATAAAAACTTTTTTTATATAAAGCAATAATATATATAAAATGAGTATATTACATAATATATAACATATAATTAATAGATGTATACCAATATATTACCCAAATTACATCATAAGGAAAAAGGAAAAGAACAAATATATATAGAGAAAAATATATATATATATTCAAAAGTCAAAAATACAGAAAAGCAAAAGAAAAAAATAACCTAAAAAAAAACAAAAAACCCCCAACCGCCTATAAAAATCAGTCAGCTAACACCCAAAATGTGTTAACATATCCACCAATCTCCTGGGTGACTGTAATGCAGGCCATACATGGTTCGAATTCCGAACGATTTTTTCGTCTGAAAATTGAAAATGTCTTTTGCTCGGTAATCCGATGGTGCCATCAATGATTTGAAAAATCGGCCCGACCGAGTCATAAAGTTCACCCCATATAACAGGCGAAACTTCTGTTCCTTCCAGGTCACAGCTCACGCTCATATTCTTTTGGAAAAAGAATCATACGATTTGACCATCATTGAGTCAAAAATATGTCATTTTTCACGAATTTTCATGAATTTTTCAATTTGTCCGATCACCAAAAAGGGGAGGAACCACGAAAATCGGCCAGTGCCATTGACCCCACTAACAGAGCGAAAATCGACCGATTATTCTTGGGTCCGATTTTCGACCCATGTATGGCTGGCCTAAGTAATTATACTGTATGTCTAGAAAACAAATGTATCTAGAAGGTTCCACATAATGATCATCTGAAAATCTAATGATCTGCAAGAACATAAATGAAGAAGAACAGGTTCAGCTTACCCAGCTGTGTGGAGGCCTCCACCACTGTCCAGGGTACGTTCCTCCTCTGGCCGATGATGACATCCAGGACCCAGGGCTTGAGGCCGTCACTTAGGATGTCCCGGATCGCTGGACACAGATATTTCAGAATCAGGTGTCCGATGTTGGGGCTGACAGAGCTGTTCCCCAGCTTGGCCTGAACAAGGGAAAAAAGGAAAAAAAAAAACATTTTTTTTTATAGTTCAGGTCAACTATTTTTTTGGGTCAGTTTTATCTCAGATTTATAAACTGTTTTATATCTGTTTTTTAAATACATTTGTGTGTTGGCCGGTGCAGTTCGCTTGTCTGCCGCTAGATGGCACTGTTCCCAGGATAGTATGGTAAAGGAAAAGTTGTAATTGGGTGTTAGACCCCTTTCTGGAAAAATCCCTCCTTATGCAGGCCATAGACGGGTTTTCGGCTGGAAAAAAAAAAAATCGGCCGGTTTTCGCACCGTTAGTGGGTTAATTGGTCGGCCATTTTTCGGGGTTTTGGCACATTTTTTTTATCGGTAAAGTTGGAAAATTTGCGGCCGATTTTCCCGGCAATGATGGGCAAATTGGCCAATTGTTTTACCGATAAAAAATCTGCGCATGAACCGTGACCTGCAAGAAGTAGAAAAAGAAGAAGAAGTAAAAAGAAGAAAGAAAAAAAGAAGAAAAAAAAAGAAGAAAAAAAAGAAGAGGAAAAAGAAGAAAAGAAGAATTCCAGTTCGCTATTATATTTTATATGAACAGTCTTGCGGTTGCAACATTGTATCTATTTGTATCCGAATAGAAACATCTGTATCTGAAATGGATACATTGTTACAACTGCAATACTTTTTCATGTCAAATATAAAAGCAGAGCTCTCTGCAGGGACAGAAGTAAAAATGCCGGCCGTAGATGGGACGAAAATTGGCCGATTTTTTTACCGTTGGTGGTAACGGCGGCCGATCGGACAACCGATTTTTCGTTTGTTTTATAAAAAAATGGCCGGTTTTCGACCCGTCTGTGGCTTGCATTAGTCTAAGTTCACACCTAAGTGTTTTCCGCTGAGGTTTGCAGAAACGCAGTACAGTCCATTTAACATGGATTCCTATGGGCCAGGTTCACGTCTCTGCATTTTCACCCGGTGCGTTTTTTGAAAAGGGTCACGGACTTTTTTAACCCCTTACTGCCGGTGCCTCCCGGGATCAGAAACCCCTTAATCACTTGCCCCCCCCAGGCACTTATACCCCGTTCCTGCCCAGGCCAATTTTCAGCTTTCAGCGCTGTCTCACTTTGAATGACAATTGCGCGGTCATGCAACACTGTACCCATATGACATTTTTATCTTTTTTTTCTCACAAATAGAGATTCTATTATAAAATTTGGCAAACAGGTAATTTTTCTCCTTCAGTGAGGTGCAATGATGAGGCTGCACTGATAGGCATCACTGATGGGCACTGATAGGCAGCACTGATGTGCCTGATGAGGTGGCACAGATAGGCAGCACTGATGGTGGCACACATAGGCAGCACTGATGGGCACTGATAGGCAGCACTGATGATGCTGTACTGATAGGCAGCACTGATGGGCACTGACAGGCAACACTGATGATGCTGAACTGATATGCAGCAATGACGGACACTGATAGGCAGCACTGCTGGACACTGAGAGGCCGCACTGACTGGGGGCACTGATGGGCAGCACTGATGGGCGACACTGCTGGGCACTGGTGGGTGGCGCTGCTGGGCACTGCTGGGCAAAGGTGGGTGGCACTGTTGGGTACTGGTGGATGGTACTGCTGGGCACTGATGGGCATTGATGTGTCACACTAACTGGCAGCACTGTTGGGCACTGATGGGCTGCACTGACTAGCATCACTGATGGGCAGCACTGATGGGCACTGCTGGGCGACACTACTGGGCACTGGTGGGTGGCACTGCTGGGCAAAGGTGGGTGGCACTGATGGGCACAGGTGGTGGCACTGCTGGGCAAAGGTGGGTGGCACTGTTGGGCAATGCTGGGTACTGCTGGGTGGCACTGCTGGGCACTGATCATCAGTACCCTTATGATCAGTGCTGATCCGCTGGTTATCGGCAGTACCCTCCTCACTCTGTGTCATCACAAAGAAAAAGTACATCCGATAACCGGCAATTGCATTTCCCGCTGATCTGCTTTTTCATTGGACACAGCTGATCACGTGGTAAAAGGCCGCTGTGATTGGCCTTTTACCACATCATGTGATCAGCTGTGTCCGTAGGACACATCGACCACAGAGATTGCCGGGGGCGCGCGTTCTGGGAGGACTTCATACGACACCCTCCCAGAACTGGACAACCGAGCTGTAGCCGTCATTCAGCTATAGCGCGGTTACCAAGCGGTTAAAAGGCGGGGAGGGGTGGGGTTTAGGATCATGTGACCACCATGATTGGCTGTCATGGCGGTCACATGATCGGAAAGGTCAGGACCTTTCCGTGGGACGCCGACACATGTGCTGAGAGCAACTCACCCCTCCCCCACCCCTCCAAAAAAAAAAAATCAAGTTTCTGCTGGTGTTTTTAATTGCTTATGAACTCACCCGGTTAGGATGGATGAGCTGCACTCTGCAGGAACGCAGTCAGTGGAGCGCTATGACGTCATGACATGTCAGTTGTCAGGCTCATTGGTCCGGCCGGGACATGAAATGATTTGTGGTTTTGTGTGAAATCCATGGAGTGCTCAGGACTCATCAATAGATCCACGGGGGTCATTATACAGAGAGACAACCCGTGTTGTCAGGACGCTGCTCATCGACTCATTTATGTGGTTTATTGACAGGAAATGTCATTGTGCGCTGAATGAAAACCTAATCCGCTTCATGGCTCCAGATCATTAGTGTGTTCTGAAAGCCGATGTTTAATCTGATTATTTCCCCCCCCCAACATGCTAATTACATGTTTATATCAAACCTTTCTGTTATTAATACAAATTTTAGGCTCAGTGAAGTAATCACTGGGTCTCTGCGCTTCTCTCTGCAATGCAGGTAGATGATGGCTGATGGGAGGGGCCAGCATAGCTTCCTGAAAACTTCACCGCACCCTGCCTTAGTACTCCTCCCCTCAGTCCTGATGCAAGTAGAGGGCTGGCTGTTGGGAGGAGTTATGCAAATAACAAAAGACCTTGATGGGCAGGTGTCAGTCTGGAGGAGAGGAGTGGGCATTTCTAGGCAGGATGTGTTTGCATGTGGGACCGCCCTAGGTGGTCTACATACTGACCCTCTATGATTGGTGGGTCAATATATGATATGGTGACCCTCTATGATTTGTGGGTCCATATATGATATGGTGACCCTCTATGATTGGTGGGCCAATATATGATATGGTGACCCTCTATGATTGGTGGGTCCATATATGATATGGTGACCCTCTATGATTGGTGGGCCAATATATGATATGGTGACCCTCTATGATTGGTGGGTCCATATATGATATGGTGACCCTCTATGATTGGTGGGTGTATATATGATATGGTGAACCTCTGATTGGTGGGTCCATATATGATATGGTGAACCTCTATGATTGGTGGGTCCATATATGATATGGTGACCCTCTATGATTGGTGGGTGTATATATGATATGGTGACCCTCTATGATTGGTGGGTCCATATATGATGATATGGTGACCCTCTATGATTGGTGGGTCCATATATGATATGGTGACCCTCTATGATTGGTGGGTGAATATATGATATGGTGACCCTCTATGATTGGTGGGCCAATATATGATATGGTGACCCTCTATGATTGGTGGGTCCATATATGATATGGTGACCCTCTATGATTGGTGGGTCAATATATGATATGGTGACCCTCTATAATTGGTCCATATATGAATGGGCCCAATATATGATATGGTGACCCTCTATGATTGGTGGGTCCATATATGATATGGTGAACCTCTATGATTGGTGGGTCCATATATGATATGGTGACCCTCTATGATTGGTGGGTCCATATATGATATGGTGAACCTCTATGATTGGTGGGTGTATATATGATATGGTGACCCTCTATGATTGGTGGGCCAATATATGATATGGTGACCCTCTATGATTGGTGGGTCAATATATGATATGGTGACCCTCTATGATTGGTGGGCCAATATATGATATGGTGACCCTCTATGATTGGTGGGTCCATATATGATATGGTGACCCTCTATGATTGGTGGGTGTATATATGATATGGTGACCCTCTATGATTGGTGGGTGTATATATGATATGGTGAACCTCTGATTGGTGGGTGAATATATGATATGGTGACCCTCTATGATTGGTGGGTCCATATATGATATGGTGACCCTCTATGATTGGTGGGTGAACCCTCTATATGATATGGTGACCCTCTATGATTGGTGGGTGAATATATGATATGGTGACCCTCTATGATTGGTGGGTGAATATATGATGATATGGTGACCCTCTATGATTGGTGGGTGAATATATGATATGGTGACCCTCTATGATTGGTGGGTCCATATATGATATGGTGACCCTCTATGATATGGTGGGCCAGGGACATTCAGACTGGGGAGGAAAGGGCAAGATGATGATGGACATCCTCCAGTCAGGACACGAGGTGTGGGCATTCCAAGGCAGGCTGTATTTGCAGAGCATTGTATGTAACACTGGCATGGGAAGATGAGTATCCATGATTGGAAGAACTTAAATCCAATGAATGGAAGGGGCTGGGCCAGGGGCTGTGAGGTTAGTTTGGAATGAGCTAGATGATGCTGGGTGTCCTCCAGCCAGGCTGTATCTGAACTTCACAGTGTTGTCACTTTACCTTCACTCCGGGGTCTCGGCTTGTGCCAAAATGAGCCACAATCAGATCGACTGCAATATTGACGGCCTTCACCAGCCCTGGGGAGCAAAGAGATGCAAGTCATATCACTGAACTCCGGGATCAGCAGATTCATCCATTCACACCTTCCTACAGGATACCGAATGATCTGACCCCTCTATAGAGGAATCAGGACCTCCTTCCTCCTGCTGGTGACCCCTCTAGTGATGTAAAGATCTATAGGGGAATCAGGACCTCCTCCTCCTGCTGGTGACCCCTCTAGTGATAGGATCTATATAGAGGAATCAGGACCTCCTTCCTCCTGCCGGTGACCCCTCTAGTGATAAAGATCTATATAGAGGAATCGGGACCTCCTTTCTCCTGCCGGTGACCCCTCTAGTGATATAAAGATCTATATAGAGGAATCAGGACCTCCTTCCTCCTCCTGGTGACCCCTCTAGTGATAGGATCTATATAGAGGAATCAGGACCTCCTTCCTCCTCCTGGTGACCCCTCTAGTGATAGGATCTATATAGAGGAATCAGGACCTCCTTCCTCCTGCCGGTGACCCCTCTAGTGATAGGATCTATATAGAGGAATCAGGACCTCCTCCTCCTGCTGGTGATCCCTCTAGTGATATAAAGATCTATATAGAGGAATCAGGACCTCCTTCCTCCTGCTGGTGATCCCTCTAGTGATATAAAGATCTATATAGAGGAATCAGGACCTCCTTCCTCCTCCTGGTGACCCCTCTAGTGATAGGATCTATATAGAGGAATCAGGACCTCCTTCCTCCTGCCGGTGACCCCTCTAGTGATATAAAGATCTATATAGAGGAATCAGGACCTCCTTCCTCCTGCCGGTGACCCCTCTAGTGATGAACCCCAGAATAGTATTCACTTTCCCCCACTGCCTGACCACACTGTTTGTTCATTTTGTAATGATCTGAAATAAGCCCCTCCCCCCGAGATCATTTTCCTCCCTAGTTCCAGGCAGCACTGCGCCCATATATGGGTTGTCGATGATTATTTCTGGATTTATTCGTGACAACAATGTTGCAGTTGATTTGGGCAGAAAGCAAAATTAGTTTCATTTCAGATCCATTCGTTAAATTACTAATTTTGTTTCATTTATTCATTTTTTTACTGGATTAAAATTTTTCCAACGGATTCAAAGTATTCAAATCAAACTCAAATATTGATCTGAATCCATTGTGAAGAATAGCTGTTTCTATTCAAAATTCAAATTTCTGAAGACTGTTATAACCATTTTATTCTATTCTTTTATTTTCCGTTCTATTCTTTTCTGTTTTACTCTATTTTGTTTTATTCTATTCTATTCTTTTATTCTATTCAGAAGACAGCTATATTCTTTATATTCAATTATTTTCTAATCTATTCATTTTTTTTCTATTCTATTCTTTTCTATTTCTTTATTTTCTATTCTATTTTATTATAGTCTTTTATATTCTATTATTTTCTATTCTGTTTTATTCTATTCTTTTCAAAATTTGAATATTGGAAGAAGGCTATATTCTTTTGAGTTTATTCTATTCCATTTTTTCTATTCTATCCTTTTATTTTCTGTTCTATAGTTTTCTATTCTATTCTGTTTTAGTCCTTTATTTTCTATGCTATTCTGTTTTATTATATTCTATTCTTTTAATAATTCAAATTTCGGAAGACGGCGGTTTTCTTTCTATTCCATTATGTTCTAATCTATTTAAATTTTTTTATATTCTATTCTGTTATAGTCCTTTATTTTCTATTCCATTCTATTCTATTTTACTCTATTCTTTTATATTCTATTCATTTCAAAATCTGAATTTTGGAAGGCAGCAATAACACTAATACACGTAGTCTTTGCAGGAAATGAACAATAGTCGGCAATATGTTTATATTTTGAATTTGTTTTCAAATTCAGTTTTGTTTTTTAATTCGATTCGATTCAATTTTGGATGAAACTACGATTCGTCATTACGAATTTGTTTAAATTCGTTACTATTGTAATTCGGAAGTTTGGATTCATGCAAATCTCCGAATAATGGAAATTTTGTTCCGAAATTTTGATTTGGAGACATTTGGATCTTGCACACGTCTAGCTGCAGTCTCCTTTGTCATCATACAAGCGGTCCTCCTCCATCGAATATTACTGAACGACTCACCTCTCTTCTGTAGGAGATCGATGGAGACAGATTCGGCGCTGCCATCGGGAGACAGACAAAACTCAGCCGGGGGGCGCTCCGTGACGGAAAAATAATCGGGGAAAAAGTCGCTGGAGCTGAGAGAGGACGGCTTTCCTGTGGAGAGGAATCAATAATTGGATATATAGGAATGAAACATCAGCAGATGAAGGTCATCAGGATGACATGAAGAGTCCCAGAACCAGCGGCGGACTGACCATTCAAGCACTCGGGCACTGCCCGAGGGCCCAGGGTCAGTAGGGGGCCCCATGAAATGCCCCTGGTACCTTTTTATAGGCTTTTTTTGAGTGTGGGCAAGGGACACAGGGGCCCCATGATCCCCTATTGCCCGGGGGCCCCATGAGTTGTCAGTCCGCCCCAGGGGTGGACTGACAACCCATGGGGCCCCCGGGCAATAGGGGATCATGGGGCCCCTGTGTCCTCGCCCACACTCAAAAAAGTCTATGAAAGGTACCAGGGGCATCTCATGGGGCCCCCTACTGACCCCGGGCCCTTGGGCAGTGCCAGAGTTCCCAAATGGTCAGTCCACCCCTGTTCCACCCCTGCCCAGAACCCAACAGTCAGTGCAAGTTATCTACCCGAATTAAACATCTTCACATTCTATAGCAAACATTAATACGACTCTCTTGTATGTCACTATAGATGAGACCGTTTGTAAAAACCCCTCATGATCCGTGTTGTCACCTCACTCTCTGACCTCCGGGCAGAATAATGGAGGCCGTACAAAACAATGGTCAGGAAATGGGATTCCCTGCCAACCATCAAACATTTGTGGTGTAATTAACCACTTCCAGTCCGGACACTTTCCCTCCCTTCCAGTCCGGACACTTTCCCTCCCTTCCAGTCCGGACACTTTCCCCCCCTTCCTTTCCGGACGCTTTCACCCCCTTCCAGTCCGGACACTTTCACCCCCTTCCAGTCTGGACACTTTCACCCCCTTCCAGTCTGGATGCTTTCACCCCTTTCCAGTCTGGGACGCTTTCACCCCCTTCCAGTCCGGACACTTTCACCCCCTTCCTGTCCGGTCACTTTCCCCCCCTTCCTGTCCGGTCACTTTCCCCCCCTTCCAGTCCAGACACTTTCCCCCCCCCCCGGACACTTTCAGTCCGGACACTTTCACCCCCTTCCAGTCCGGACACTTTCACCCCCTTCCAGTCCGGACACTTTCCCCCCCTTCCTGTCCGGACACTTTCACCCCCTTCCAGTCCAGACACTTTCCCCCCCTTCCTGTCCGGACACTTTCACCCCCTTCCTGTCCGGACACTTTCACCCCCTTCCTGTCCGGACACTTCCACTCCCTTCCAGTCCGGACACTTTCACTCCCTTCCAGTCCAGACACTTTCCTCCCCCTTCCAGTCCGGACACTTTCCCCCCCTTCCAGTCCGGACACTTTCACCCCCCTTCCTGTCCGGACACTTTCCCCCCCTTCCAGTCCGGACACTTTCACTTCCCCCTTCCTGTCCGGACACTTTCCCCCCCTTCCTGTCCGGACACTTTCCCCCCTTCCAGTCCAGACACTTTCACCCCCTTCCAGTCCAGACACTTCCCCCCCCCTTCCAGTCCGGACACGTTCCCCCCCTTCCAGTCCGGACACTTTCACCCCCTTCCAGTCCAGACACTTTCCTCCCCCTTCCAGTCCGGACACTTTCCTCCCCCTTCCAGTCCGGACACTTTCCTCCCCCTTCCAGTCCGGACACTTTCCTCCCCCTTCCAGTCCGGACACTTTCACCGCCTTCCAGTCTGGACACTTTCACCCCCTTCCAGTCTGGACACTTTCACCCCCTTCCAGTCTGGACACTTTCACCCCCTTCCAGTCTGGACACTTTCACCCCCTTCCAGTCCAGACAGTTTCACCCCCTTCCGGTCCAGACACTTCCCCCCCCTTCCAGTCCGGACACGTTCCCCCCCTTCCAGTCCGGACACTTTCACCCCCTTCCAGTCCGGACACTTTCCTCCCCCTTCCAGTCCAGACACTTTCCTCCCCCTTCCAGTCCGGACACTTTCCTCCACCTTCCAGTCCGGACACTTTCCTCCCCCTTCCAGTCCAGACAGTTTCACCCCCTTCCAGTCCAGACACTTCTCCCCCCCCTTCCAGTCCGGACACTTTCCCCCCCTTCCAGTCCGGACACTTTCACCCCCTTCCAGTCCAGACACTTTCCTCCCCCTTCCAGTCCGGACACTTTCCTCCCCCTTCCAGTCCGGACACTTCCGGACACTTTCCCCCCTTCCAGTCCGGACACTTTCCTTCCCCCTTCCAGTCCGGACACTTTCACCCCCTTCCAGTCCGGACACTTTCACCCCCTTCCAGTCTGGACACTTTCACCCCCTTCCAGTCCGGACAGTTTCACCCCCTTCCGGTCCGGACACTTTCACCCCCTTCCAGTCTGGACACTTTCACCCCCTTCCAGTCTGGACACTTTCACCCCCTTCCAGTCTGGACACTTTCCCCCCCCCTTTCCTGGACACCCCCCCCCTTCCAGTCCGGACACTTTCACCCCCTTCCAGTCTGGACACTTCCCCCCCCCCCTTCCAGTCCGGACACTTTTCCCCCCCTTCCAGTCTGGACACTTTCAACCCCTATCCAGTCCGGACACTTTCACCCCCCTTCCAGTCCGGACACTTTCACCCCCCTTCCAGTCCGGACACTTTCACCCCCTTCCAGTCCGGACACTTTCACCCCCTTCCAGTCCGGACACTTTCCCCCCCTTCCAGTCCGGACACTTTCCCCCCCTTCCAGTCCGGACACTTTCCCCCCCTTCCAGTCCGGACACTTTCACCCCCTTCCAGTCTGGAAACTTTCACCCCCTTCCTGCCCAGGCCAATTTTCAGCTTTAAAAATAACCCAAATTAGTTTATAACCAAAAAGTATAATTTTTAAACACATTTGTTTTTTTTATTTTTTTTTTTTTTTTATTATTATTTATGGTCTTTTTTTTTTTTTTTACATACTGTCACCCTAGCAGTAGTGTCACCATGGTGATACTGTACTACTTGTGGGGGGTGATGAAGATTTTTTTTTTTTTTTTACACTGATTGCTTTTACACCCATAAAGGCTGTAAAAGCAATCATTTCTCCTTCTCTCTGGCTGCATTCTTGCAGCCATTGAGAAATACGGTGAGAGCTGTGATTGGTCACAGCTTGTCACATGGTACAAGGCTGTTGTGAATAGCCCTGTACCGTGTGATCTCTGTGATCATTCACAGATTTCACACGTAGTAAGCAATGATGTCAGAAGTGACATCTTGCTTACTACTCTGCATGTGATCACTGATTGGTCCTGTCCAACAATCGGTGTTCCACTGTGTCTGGGGGACACAGCAGGCACTGGATCGTGATGCTGCATGCTCCCAGTGAGAGCGCACAAGCAGGGGGCGGGGAGGCCGTTTATAAACAGCCACCTGACCCTACACTGCCACCGTCCGGCTGTTTATATACAACGGCCGGACAGGAAGTGGTTAACTCAAAATAAGTTGTACGAGGAGGTATCAAAATGTTTTGAGACTAGCCAACAGATGGCAGCACAAGGCTGCACACATAGTCACAGGGAGCACTAACCTTCATAAGTCAGTGTGCCAAAAGACATTATCCTGCTTACATCTGGAGCTGTGCGACTGGTGCTATTCTGGCCTGGTGCGCTACCACGTCTGATATTTTGTCATGGACAGCAAGTCGGAACAAAGAGCGAACGTAAAATTCTGCGTGAAACCGAGCAAAATCTGCCACAGAGACGTTTGTCATGATACGGGCAGCACAGTGGCTAAATGGTGGCACTTCCGCCTGGCAGTACTTGGGTCGTTGGTTCGAATCCCGGCCACGGCATCTCCTGCCTGGAGTTTACATGTTCTCCCTGTGCCTGCGTGGGTTTCCTCCCAGTACAGGCAAACACTGCGCTTGCATGGCTGTATGCTGTAGTATGCCCATGTGAACCAGGCCTGAGGCTGGGTTTGCATTTCCAAGATGTGGGCAGCACAGTGGCTAAATGGTTAGCACTTCTGCTTGGCAGTACTAGGGTCGTTGGTTTGAATCCCAGCCACGGCATCTCCTTCCTGGAGTTTGCATGTTCTCCCTGTGCTTGTGTGGGTTTCCTCCAGATACTCCAGTTTCCTCCCACACTCCAAAGACATGCTGGTAGGTGAATTGGTTCCTATCTAAATTGGCCCTAGTATGTGTATGTATGAATGTGAGTTTGGGATCTTAGATTGTACACTTCTCAGGGGCGGGGACTGATGTGAATGTACAATATATGTAAAGCGCTGCATAAATTGACGGCGCTATATAAGTACCTGAAATAAATAAATTCTGCAAATTTACAACGATGCTGCAATGAGTCGATCGATGTGTTTTGAGTGGCACGTGCTCTTCAAGATCGGAAGAACATCACTGTAAGACGATGAGAGATCAGGAAGACCTTCAACGAGGTCAACCCCCAAAAATGTAAAAATGTCGAAACCATTCGACAACTTGTACATGATGGTCATCAGAGAACAACCCACAACATCGCTGCCATGGTCGGTGTGTCATACGGAACGGGCCAGGCAATCTTCACGTGTGATGGACATTCGCCGTCTTGCTGCCAAATTTGTCTGCAGGCTGCAATGATCTCACTTCCGCACCCACCCTACTCGCAAATTTGGCTCTTGCGGACTTCGCCCTCTTCCCGAAGATGCAGCTCAAAGGTCACCATTCTAACAACATTGTGGAGATCCATCACAAATAGCAGAAGGTGCTTGAAACGCTTTGAGAAGAAGACTTCCAGGACACATTCCAGAAGTGGCAGGAACGCTGGGAGCCCTGTATGGCAGGGGGACTATTTTGAAGGTGATAGTGTGGAAACATTGATAAATAAGGCACTTTCTTGTAAGCAGAGCTAGTCTCCAAACTCTTTGATACCACCTTGTTCACATTATACGGCCAAATTCACGTAGACAATCCTCAGAATTATTGAATTCAGGTGTGTTTGTGGTCAAGGGAACTCTTATTGATAAAGCAAACAAAGACATTTTGGACAACTTTACACTTCTAGTCTTGTGGCAACAATTTATGGTAGGTCCTTTTCTGTTCCACCATGACTGTGCCACTCCATAAAGACATGCTTTGGTGGGTTTGGTATGGGGAGAAACCCAAAAGTCCTGACCTAAACTCTACTGAACATTTTTGGAATGAATTGTTACACCCATTGTGAGCCAGGTCTTCTCATCCAACATCAGTATCTGACCCAAATGGGCACACATTCCCACAGGCATGCTCTGGAAAGGCCTCCAAGAAGAATGGAGGCTGATAGAGCTGTGGGCAACTCTTCTAGTTGTCCACAGTCCTTTCCAACTCATCTAGTTGTCCAGTCCTTTCCAAGTCCTTTCCACAGTCCTTTCCAATCATAGTTGTCCACAGTCCTTTCCACAGTTGTCCTTTCCAACTCATCTAGTTGTCCACAGTCCTTTCCAACTCATCTAGTTGTCCACAGTCCTTTCCAACTCATCTAGTTGTCCACAGTTCTTTCCAACTCATCTAGTTGTCCACAGTTCTTTCCAACTCATCTAGTTGTCCACAGTCCTTTCCAACTCATCTAGTTGTCCACAGTCAACTCATCTAGTTTTCCACAACTCATTTAGTTGTCCACAGTTCTTTCCAACTCATCTAGTTGTCCACAGTCCTTTCCAACTCATCTAGTTGTCCACAGTCCTTTCCAACTCATCTAGTTATCCACAGTCTTTTCCAACTCATCTAGTTGTCCACAGTCCTTTCCAACTCATCTAGTTGTCCACAGTCCTTTCCAACTCATCTAGTTGTCCACAGTCCTTTCCAACTCATCTAGTTAGTCCTTTGGCCATATAGCATACTTAAATCACTATATAAATGTTTCTTAGGTCGCTCATGTTTGAGGTGGGTGGGATGGTGAACCCTTTACTGTCAAGTATTTAAAGTGGAACTCCACCCAAAAGGGGAAGTTCTGCTTTAAGGTCTCTCAACCCAACCCCCCCCCCCCCCCCCCACACACACACACACACACACTCCATGTTTGGCAATCTTTTTGGGAGGGGGGGCAGGTACCTGGTTTTGACAGGCACCTGCACCCACTTCCACCTGGATTACCTAGGCGTTTCGGATGGATGTTTTCCTTCCCCTTCTCTCCCCACAGTCTTCTGGGACATGGCACGGGTCCCAGAAGACTGCGGGACCTATCCCTATCACACCGCAAGCTGTTACAGCCGGGTGCCCACAGCTAAGATGATCAGATGTCTTCGGTCTCCGGTGCCCCCTTGGGTGAGCACACAGCTGGATCGGGGGACAGGTAAGTGTGTGTTTATTAACAGTCAGCAGGTACAGTTTTTGTAACCGCTGAATTTGAATTTGTACACGACTGGAGCTCTTCTTTAACCATTTCCAATCCAGTCCAATGCTCGCATTTCTCTCCTACATGTAAAAAACTTAATTTTGTGCTAGAAAACTAGTTAGAACCCCCGAACATTATATATAATGGGAATGGGATGCTACTGATGGCATTCTTAGTGGGCTCCCCAATCGCATGGAAGAGCCCAGTAAAGGCAGTGATGGGAGTGAGGGGGGGACCCCCTTGCACCTCCTGCAAAAGTAATCTAGTGGCACTTTAGCCGCTTGGATTACTTTTACAACACACAGTATCGCTGTCTGTAAAGAATATGTGCGGTAATGCAGTATCGAGATCTCACCCTTCCCATCCAAAGACGTTCGGATACGTCCTATGGACAGGAAGTGGTTAATTAGACAATCCTCAGTGTGTGGTAAACTGACTGACCAGAGGTCAGAGAGTGAGGAGGATGACAGCCTGTATGGGCTACAAGGATGTGGAGTGAAAAAAAGGTGACCTTCTTGTCTATCTCTGGATATCACCAATTTGCTCTGGATACTTTAAGGCAGAACTAAACCCTGCATGGTTTGAATGTAATTGTTTTTGGAAACCATTAAAATGGTGGGTTTAGTTCCACTTTAATCTCCTAACACCCCCCCCCCCCCCACCAATGTTCATCCCTGGTCACATGACAATCCTCCAGTCCGCACCATGAAACCGCGAATGTAAATGGTTGCCATTGATGCTGCCGGGAAAGTCGAAGAAGTGGTTCCTCTTGGTGATCTTGGTCTCCTGCCTCCTGTCCAGGCTGCCGGCCAGTCCGGCCAGCCCATGAACTCGGTCAAGGCCCAGCGGGTTTCGACGCCTGTACTCCCTCCACTTCAGGGCTTGTGGGGACAGGTGATTGGCTAGAAGTTCCCGTGATAGGCAGCAGTAGCAAATTAGAGAAGAGAGAAAAACCCAGAGAGGAGGTGGAAGTTAGTGATAGGGCAGAGTGTGCAGGAGCAGAGCAGAAGATACCATCAAAGTGCTGTTAGTCATAATGAGGAATATAGACCAGGATAGAGATCGACAACAATGGAAGACAAGCCAGGAACCAATCAGCTTTCGGGGGGACATATATCATCTGGAAATGTTGGGGTACAGGGACAGAGACTAATTGGCAGAGAGGGATTGGCAGAGAGGGGTGAAGGACACTGAGTGGAAGTCAGTGGAGGGATTGGCAGAGAGGGGTGGAGGACACTGAGTGGAGGTCAGTGGAGGGATTGGCAGAGAGAGTGGAGGACACTGAGTGGAGGTCAGTGGAGAGATTGGCAGAGAGAGTGGAGGACACTGAGTGTAGGTCTGTGGAGGGATTGGAAGAGAAGGGTGGAGGACACAGAGTGGAGGTCAGTGGAGGGATTGGCAGAGAGGGTGGAAGACACTGAGTGGAGGTGAGTGGAGGGATTGGCAGAGAGGGTGGAGGATGCTGAGTGGAGGTCAGTGGAGGGATTGGCAGAGAGAGTGGAGGACACTGAGTGGAGGTCAATGGAGGGATTGGCAGAGAGAGTGGAGGACACTGAGTGTAGGTCAGTGGAGGGATTGGAAGAGAAGGGTGGAGGACACTGAGTGGAGGTCAGTGGAGGGATTGGCAGAGAGGGGTGGAGGACACTGAGTGGAGGTTAGTGGAGGGATTGGCAGACGGGTGGAGGACACTGAGTGGAGGTGAGAGGAGGGCTTGGCAGAGAGGGGTGGAGGACGCTGAGTGGAGGTGAGAGGAGGGATTGGCAGAGAGGGGTGGAGGACGCTGAGTGGAGGTGAGAGGAGGGATTGGCAGAGAGGGGTGGAGGACGCTGAGTGGAGGTCAGTGGAGGGACCACTGACCTACACTCAGTGTCCTCCATCCCACTCTGCCAATCCCTCCTCTCACCTCTACTCAGTGTCCTCCACCCCTCTCTGCCAATCCCTCCACTGGCTTCCCATTGCCCAATTAATAAAATTCAAAACATTAACAATAACATATAAAACCATTTATAACTCCTCCCCAAATTACATCACGAATCTTGTCACCAAATATCACCCAAACCATCTCCGCTCCTCCCACAATCACATGCTCTCTAGCTCCCTTGTCTCCTCCTCCCATGCTTGTCTCCAGGACTTCTCCAGAGCCTCCCCCATCCTCTGGAACTCACTACCCCAATCCATCAGACTGTCACCTACCCTCCTAACCTTTAGGCGCACCCTGAAAACCCATCTCTTCAGGGAAGCCTACCCCACCCTCACCTAACAGCCGATCTCCTCCACTCCCCCTACCACTCCATCCCCCACAGCCACTTCCTCCTGTACCACTATCCCTCCCTCCTAGATTGTAAGCTCAAAAGAGCAGGGTCCTTGAACCCCTCGTGTTTTGTTTTGTTACTGTATTGTCTCATGTTCTGTCCCTCACTATAATGTACAGCTCTGAGCAAACCTTTTAGCGCTATATAAATACTGTATAATAATAATATAAACAAAGCACACATAAAGTGCCCATTCACTGAACACGAGCAAATAGACACCACACTCTTGTGCCACCATCTTCTTTGTGACATCATTAGGAGGCCAGCCATCCAGGTCCTAGCAGCTGGCCACCATTGAACATGCACAGTGGGTTCCTCACAGCCCTGAAGCCTCCTGGGATCCATGACATGGGTATCTCAGGAGGCTTCAGGCAGGGTGAGTCATTCTCACATAGAAATGCGGAAGTACAAAAAAATACACTTATAAAATAAATTTTTGTTGATAGAAAAGGTAAGAATTTTCTTACCATTCTTACCATTAACTGGTCTTGACATCATGATCTTCTCTGGGAAAGTTTTCACTTTGTTTTCCTCAGTTGTAGGATTGTCATGGGTGAGCTCGTGAAGGACGGTGTTCAGCAGAGGCAGTGAGGTGATAGGAGGAAGACCATGCTTGGATATTTGTGTGCTAGGTTCCTTCAAAGGTTCTCGTTCGCTATTGACCTCTGAACCTCTATTTTAGGGGAGACCTCATACTTTCGGGTGGGTTTGGCTGCTCCCGGAAGTGTGGTGCCCCTGGCTTGTGTTGACCTAAAAGGCAAGAGATTGGCCGACATCGGGCAGGAGCGGCTTCTGGGAGGTTGATTCTCCTTGGTCTTCTCTGGAGATGGAGAGCTGGACGAGCTGGAGTCCATACTCTGAAAGAACGTGGTATTACTCCTAATGGGAGAGTAGCTTCCCAGTGGTGAGGGCCGAGTTGTATCCGGGGCCTGGGTTCCATTTTGCTCATCTTTGGTGTTCACCAGCTCATCCAAAGACAGTTTCCCAGCCACGCTGATCATCTTAGGATGGCTGCAGGTTGCATCCATTTGCCCGGACAGGGTGACCGGGGCTGAAGATTGGGTCTCTGACACATTGTGCTGGCTGGACGACCGGCTGCTGGACAATCCGTAGAGCTGGGAAAGGCTGGAAGTGAAGTGGCTGTGCAGTGGGCGAGTTTTTGGCTTGCTGAAATGATGTTGGAACACGAATGGTTGGATGGGTAGAGTGGTGGGGCGTTGATCCTTGCTGTAGCGGAACACTGGTTTGGCCTCTGCCCCCATTCCTATGGATAAAGACAGATGTTGGAAATCAGTGTGGCGATAATGGCGTTACATAACAACGACTTCCAGAATAAGTCACAGACATGTCTATATGAAGTCACCAAATACCTGAGGAGCTTTACCTGGTAGCTCCTCCCATTTCATTAGAAATGTAAAATGATGTTCCGTTCTGACTCATGTCTTGCTGTTGCCTGCATTGTTCACCCAACCAAAGTGTATTATTCTCAGCTCACCAATATTTTGCACTTATGATAAATAAGCCCTATCAAAGCCCTCTGAATGCCCGACAGCAACTGCTCTGAAAAGTGAACCACCACAGATTGCTTCTCAGAGCTTAGGCTAGTGTGAACCTAACTCTGAGTAAGCAGCTTCTTCATCTTTTACTCCATGCCTATGTTCCAGTTTAAGCTGGTGCCATAACCGCTACCCAAGGTTTCCAGTTTCAGGGTGGCTCCATTCTCTTGCAGCATCCTATGGAACCACCATTGAATGCAGGGACTAGAGCTGTGTTTCCCTACACTGTGTGCATCAATAGAAACACACAGCCCCATAGGCCTAGGATGGCAAGGCACAACTCTGCTTCTCTTACTCATTATTGGTGTCAGTGGAAGGAATAGTGCCCTATCATTGGTATCACTGGGAGGAATAGTGCCCCATTATTGGTGACAGTGGGAGATATAGTGCCCCATCATTGGTGTCAATGAAGGAATAGTTCCCCATTATTGGTGTCAATGGATGGAATAGTGCCCCATTATTGGTGTCAATGGAAGGAAGAGTGCCCCAACATCGGTGACAGTGGGAGAAATATTGCCCCATCATTGGTGTCAATGAAGGAATAGTTCCCCATCATTGGTGTCAATGGAAGGAATAGTGCCCCATCATTGGTGTCAATGAAGGAATAGTGCCCCATCATTGGTGTCAATGGAAGGAATAGTGCCCCATCATTGGTGTCAATGAAGGAATAGTGCCCCATCATTGGTGTCAATGGAAGAAATAGTGCCCCATCATTGGTGTCAGTGGTAGGAATAGTGCCCCATCATTGGTGTCAATGAAGGAATAGTGCCCCATCATTGGTGTCAATGAAGGAATAGTGCCCCATCATTGGTGTCAATGAAGAAATAGTGCCCCATGATTGGTGTCAGTGGGAGGAATAGTGCCCCATCATTGGTGTCAATGGAAGGAATAGTTCCCCATCATTGGTGTCAATGGAAGGAATAATGCCCCATCATTGGTGTCAATGAAGGAATAGTGCCCCATCATTGGTGTCAATGAAGGAATAGTGCCCCATGATTGGTGTCAGTGGGAGGAATAGTGCCCCATCATTGGTGTCAGTGGGAGGAATAGTGCCCCATTATTGGTGTCAATGGAAGGAATAATGCCTCATATCAGTGGGAGGAATAGTGCCCAAGGGCCAGATAACCTCAAGCAAAGGTCTGCACCTGGCCCATGGGCCACAGTTTGGAGACCACTGCTATATATGGATGCCAGCCAGTCTGCTTCCATCTGCGCTTCTACCTATTCTCAGTTCATTCCTGGGATCATTATTATTATACAGGATTTATGACGCCAACAGTTTACGCAGCGCTTTACAATATAAGGGCAGACAGTAATATTACAATACAAATGAATACAGGAGGGATCAGAGGGCTCTGCTCCACAGAGCTTACAATCTAAGAGGGAGGGTCGAGAGATACAAAAGGTAATCACTGTGGGGGATGGCCTGATGGACAAAATACATGTACAGTTGTTAGGTGGGGGCAGGATAGGCCTCTCTGAAGAGACGAGTTTTCAGGAATCATCTAAAAGTGGACAGAGATGGAGTAAGTCAGACACATTGGGGAAGTGAGTTCCAGAGGATGGGAGCAGCTCTGGAGAAATCCTGGAGGCAATCATGGGAGGAGTTGACATGGGAGCTAGAGAGCAAGAGGTATTGGGATGAATGAAGAGAACTATTTGGTTGGTATTTTGAGACCAGGTTGGTGATGTAGCTGAGGGCTGAGTTGTGGATGGCTTTATAAGTTGTTGTAAGTGTTTTGAATTTTATTTGTTGGGTGAGCCAGTGGAGGGATTGGCAGAGAGGGGTGGAGGACACTGAGTGGAGGTCAGTGGAGGGATTGGCAGAGTGGGGTGGAGGACACTGAGTGGAGGCCAATGGAGGGATTGGCAGAGAGGGGTGGAGGACGCTGAGTTGAAGCCAGTGGAGAGATGGGAAGAGAGGGGTGGAAGACACTGCATGGAGGTCAGTGGAGGGATTGGCAGAGAGAGGTGGAGGACACTGAGTGGAGGTCAGTGGAGGGATTGGAAGAGAAGGGTGGAGGACACTGAGTGGAGGTCAGTGGAGGGATTGGCAGAGAGGGGTGGAGGACGTTGACTGGAGGCCAGTGGAGGGATGGCAGAGAGGGGTGGAGGACGCTGAGTGGAGGTCAGTGGAGATATTGGCAGAGAGGGGTGGAGGACACTGAGTGGAGGCCAGTGGAGGGATTGGCAGAGGGGTGGAGGACACAGAGTGGAGGTCAGTGGAGGGATTGGCAGAGAGGGGTGGAGGACACTGAGTGGAGGTCAGTAGAGGGATTGGCAGAGAGGGTTGGAGGACACTGAGTGGAGGTCAGTGGAGGGATTGGCAGAGAGGGGTGGAGGACACAGAGTGGAGGTCAGTGGAGGGATTGGCAGAGAGGGGTGGAGGACACTGAGTGGAGGTCAGTGGAGGGATTGGCAGAGAGGGTTGGAGGACACTGAGTGGAGGTCAGTGGATTGATTGGCAGAGGGGGGTGGAGGACACTGAATGGTTGGTAAGGTGGATGAGTCTGGCAGAAGCATTCCTGATGGACTGGAGGGCGGATAGTCTATGTAAAGGTAAGCCAAGGAGGAGGGAATTGCAGTAGTCAAGGTGGAGATGACCGGGGAGTGAATTAGATGATTTGGGGTGTCATTGGTTAGGAAGGGGCGTATCTTGGAGATGTTGCGGAGGTTGAGGCGGCAAGCTTTGGACAGTGATTGGACGAGGGGCTGAAAGGGTAGTTCAGAGTCCAGGATTACACCAGGCACCCTGGCATGTGGGGAGGGGGAAAAAAAAAATCGCATGGTTCACCCAATCAGTGTTGCTCTCTGTGTGGCGAGCTCTGACACCCAGCCTCAGAATTCTACTGAAATCAGACATCCATGTCATAATGACGGCAAATTAGTACTCGGATCAGGATCAGCGGCTCCCTGCTTCTGGCATCAACCCAGATATCCCCCTTCCCGAAAATTAGCATTCATCTCATTCAGGCCGGGAGAGCAGAAACAGCGGTGATTTCTCAGGAACTTCACAAGACTTTTAATGACGGCGCCTAACAACCGGGAGGAATGTCGGTGGGATTCTGCTGCTGTTATACTCCAATTCATATGCTAAATTCATTCAGTAGAGTAGAGGATCCGATTTATTGTTAGAAAGTTAGGCTGAATGTAGCTTTTGATGAAATTTCTACATGCTTTGGGGTCTACATAAAAAACACTAACAATGCCAAGGCTGCCCAGAGAATACGGTCCCTTGAGCACTGGGCCGTTCAGCTTCATTGGGACCCTTCCAGCATGTTAGAGGTACATGTGCTGCTTCCAACCCTGCTACAGGCAGCCTGTCGAGGTCCATTGAAGGCTGACCACTGTACCGTCTGGTACCGGCATTCAAAGCCCTGTCCATTCGGTAACAAGGTTCTGGAATGCTCGATGGAATAATGAATCTAATAAGTACAGTGAAGGAAATGCGTATTTGCTCCCCGGCTGATGTTGAATGTTTGCCCCTCACAAAGAAATGATCGATCTACAAATCGAATGTTCGGTGTATTGTAACACTGAGAGACAGATTTGCATGTTCATGAGGGAAAGAAGGATTTGATCCCCTATCATTCAGCAGGATTTCTGGCTACCAGGTGTCTTTCATACAGGTAACAAGCTGAGATTAGAAGCAGTCTCTTAAAGGGAGTGCTGCTAATCTCATTGTGTTACCTGTATAAAAGACACCTGTCCACAGGAGCAATCAAACCATCAGATTCCAAACTCTCCACCATGGCAAAGACCAAAGAGCTGTCCAAGGATGTCAGGGACAAGATTGTAGACCTACACAAGGCTGGACTGGGCTACCAAACTATGGCCAAGCAGCTTGGTGAGAAGGTGACAACAGTTGGTGCAATCATTCACAAATGGAAGAAACACAAAACAAGTGTCAGTCTCCCTAGGTCTGGTGTACCATGCAAGATCTCACCTCGTGAAGTGTCAATGATCATGTGAACAGTGAGGAATCATCCCAGAACTACACGTGAGGATCTTGTCAATGATCTCCAGGCAGCTGGGACCACAGTCACCAAGAAAACAATTGGTAACACACTACGCCGACAAGGACTGAAATCCTGCAGTGCCCGCAAGGTCCCTCTCCTCAAGAAAGCACATGTCCAGGCCCGTCTGAAGTCTGCCACTGAACATCTGAATGATGCAGAGGAGGACTGGTTGGAAGTGTTGTGGTCAGAGGAGACCAAAATCGAGCTCTTTGGCATCAACTCAACTCGCCGTGTTTGGAGGAGGAGGAATGCTACCTATGACCCCAAGAACACCATCCCAACTGTGAAACGTGGTGGAAACATTTGGGGGTGTTCTTCTGCTAAGGGGACAGGACAACTGCACCACATCAAAGGGACGATGGACGGGGCAATGTATCGTCAAATCTTGGGTGAGAACCTTCTTCCCTCAGCCAGGGCATTGAAAATGGGTCGTGGATGGGTGTTCCAGCATAACAATGACCCAAAACACACGGCCAAGGCAACAAAGGAGCGGCTCAAGAAGAAGTACATTAAGGTCTTGGAGTGGCCTAGCCAGTCTCCAGACCTTAATCCGATTGAAAATCTGTGGAGGGAGCTGAAAGTTCGAGTTGCCAAACGTCAGCCACAAAACCTTAATGACTTGGAGAGGATCTGCCAAGAGGAGTGGGCCAGAATCCCTCCTGAGATGTGTGCAAACCTGGGAGCCAACTCCAGGAAACGTCTGACCTCTGTGATTGCCAACAAGGGATTGGCCACCAAGTACTAAGTCATGTTTTGTGAAGGGGATCAAATCCTTCTTTCCCTCATGAACATGCAGATCAGTCATCATTTGTTAGACGCATTTCTGCTGAATTTGTTGTTGTATTCTGTCTCAGTGTTACAATACACCAAACATTCGATTTTTTAGACTGATCATTTCTTTATGAGGGGCAAACATTCAACATCAGCAGGGGATCAAATACACATTTCCTTCACTGTAGGTGATTTTTGGAAAAGAACAGGTCCCGGATTGCAAAAAAGGAAATTTATCGCCCATTGCACCATTGAACTCCACCAAAAACCAAAAATAGCGACATTTCGGGGAGGAGAGAGAGACCCGATCGCCCATGCAACTGAAATAACCCAAATCTGACACATTTTTACAATACACTCAATTTTTGGTAAATTATAACAGATGGCCTTGCGTTGAGTAAATAGATACCAAATATGGCGTCCCTAGGGGGTGCGGACCACAATGGGTGACACCATCACAGGGGGTGCAGGATGCCAGCAGAGCTTCTGGGCTCTGTGAAGGTCCTGGCCAGTTATTGGGGTGATCCCAGATTCCCGGCACAGTGACAGCTAAAATGAGTATCCCGTGAAGATATGTATCCCCTGAAGCAACTGCGCATGTGCAGATCACTATGGGTTACAAGATCTGTTAATTCCGTATAGGTTCAACCTATACGGGGTTAACTGATCTTGCAACCCATAGAAATCCGCGGGATCAGGTTCAGCAGTTTGCAGCCTGTAAGGGGTTAACTGTGGCAGGTCTGTGCTAAAGTCATAGATTGGGTTCTTCAGCCTGAAACCACCACATGAGCAGTTGCTTCAGGGCATACATATCTTCACGGGTTCGGGATACTCATTTTACTACTACACCGCCAACGCTTCTTCCTCTCTGGAGGGGTGACACCACGTGTTACCGCACCAGGTGACACCAACCCTAGGGACCTCTGCAACCTGCACATGGCACTTGTGGATGAATACCTGAGATTCCGGCACCCACTGGAGCAGGGACCTTGGTGCCTCCGAGGGTGTCAGGAAAGACGTATTCTGGTGCACAGAATCACAGCCGATTTGCAGGTGTGCATGTGCATGGGTGAGTGTGCGGGAGTGCGAACGGGTGCGCGAGAGCGCGAGCACGCACAAACATCAAGCAGGCTATTTAAACTGCACTATGGTGTGGAGTCCTTGCAGCTTGGTCCATTACATTTTCCGAAGCATCTGAAACCTGTTTCTGTGTTGACTTTCAGATACCGACTTGATCTTCCCCTGACCTTGCCTGAATGTTGCCTGTACCACCCCCTGGCTTGTCCTTGGATTTCATCTCTGCCTGCTCCTTCTGCTTATCCAGCCATCTTTGCCGACCCTGGCCTGACCTCAGCTATTTATCTGCCTTTCAGTTGTCGACCTGGACTGCCTTGCCCTGCTCTCCTGCATCTGAACCTGCTGATTTGTGCCTGCTTTCTGCTCCGGTCTTCCACCAGCACAGCCTGCTCTACAGCAAAGCACAGCTTGCCCTTCAGCAAGCACAGCCTGCACTACAGCAATGCACAACCTGCTCATCAGCAACGCACAACCTGCTCTTCAGCAACACACGTGCGGCTCCCCGGCATCCTACAAGAGAAGACCGGTCAGGCAGCCGTGCCCATCCTATGTTCAGGCGCTCCTGTCACTTTACCAGGGCTCCTGAGCCGGAGATGTAAGAGAAGCCTGCCTCAACGTGTCAAGTCTTCAAATTGGGTGCAACCCAAAAAAAAATACCTAAAAGTCTCCTTTTAAGCCTTTACAGGTTATCCATTTAGAGTTAACCCTTCGCTGCCATTTAAAGCCCATTGCCCTCTTGGAAAACCACCAAATATCTTAAAGCGGAGTTCCACTCATCCTGGCAAAAAAATAAAAGTTAGCATCTACAAAAACTGTAGCTGCTGACTTTTAAAAAACAGCCACTTACCTGTCCCTCGGTCCTGTGGTGTGTCCCCCGCAGCCCGTTTCACCGGGCTTCCTGTATTCCAGGAGGCCGGCATCTTCAGTGTGGGTACCTGGCTGTGACAGCTTGCGGCTTCACAGCCGGGAACCCACTGCGCATGCGCGAGTAGTGCTGCGCTTCATGAATGGTCCTGTAGTCTTCTGGGACCTGTCACGTGTCCCAAAAGACTACAGGGAAGGAGGAAGGACACCTTCCGTTTCCAATCACCTAGGCGATCCGATCGGAATTGGGAGCTGGTACCTGTCAAATACAGGTACCTGTCAAATTTGGAGGCGGGGGGCCCCCAAAGCTGCCAATCCTTAAAGGGGAGCGGAGGAGCAGTCCTTAAAGCGGAACTTCCCCTTTTTTGGGTGGAGCTCCGCTTTAATTTTACCTTCCCCATTCATTCAATGCATTTTGTCAAAACAGTTCAGGGAGGCGGAGAGAGACGTGGTCACCCATCTCCTAGATTGTAAGCTCCCAGGGTCAGGGCCCTCCTAACCCTCTTGTATTGAACTGTATTGTTGCTGTATTGTCTCCTGTTATATTGTAAAGTGCTGAGCAAACTGTTGGCGCTATATATATCTTGTATAATAATAATAATTATATAAATCCTGTATAATAATACTAATAATAATGTGACTGAAGTAACCAAAATCTGGTACTTTGGAGTACGGAGGAGATTTGCCTGGATCCATATCTTTGCAT